ATAAAGCTGAGAGAGACTAAGGGATTCTGGTGGAGAGGATAGGATTAGAATTCATAATGTTGAGAAAAGACCTGAAAAATGAGTGTGTTTTTGGATGGAGACAATTGTTGGTTGTATAGATCCAGCATGGGAAGCTATTGGGGCAGGCCTTCTGCAGAAGAGGACTTGAGGGACACAGAGTAGAAGTGAGCCAGTACTGTGGCAGTGACACAGAAAAGCCAAATAATGTAGGGGGGGATGTAAACAGGAGAGCAGTCAGTGTGGTCTTTCATAAAGTCGCTTTGGTCAGGGTGCCAGGTAGAATAATTAGTGCAGCTTGGGCACCACACTTTTAGGGAAGCTACAGACTGATTAGGGAGTATTCAGGGAGAGCAGTAAAAATGGTCAGAAATTGAGCAAACGAGACTTATTTGGAAAGACTGACAAATTAGTTATTTTGCGCAAACAACACCTGACAGTGACGTGCTGACTGTTTGCAAACATGGAGAAGATGGCTGCAAAGAGGACGGGGCTTGTCTTTGTCTTTCTCTGTTTTGAACAGAGCGGGTTAGAAACACCTGGTTTAAACCAGGGCAAGAGAAATTTCTGTTAGACATGAGGAAAATACTGTAGCAATTAGGATAATGAATTCTTGCAATATAATATCAAGGAGGTTGTAGCTCTTCGTAAGAAGTCCTTTTAAGACTGGATTAGATAGACAACGGTCAGAGATAAAACAGCGACCACAGATCATGCTCAGAAGGGATGACTGCCCAAGGTTTTTGCCAGCTTTACTTTCCTACAGTTTTTGTGAGAAAGCTGTTTGAAACCAAGACTGTTAATTGTTTTTGGAAGTTAACAGGCCAAAGTTTCAAATATTAGGAAGAAAAATTCTGTGTCTTTTGGGCTGAATTTGGTGAGTTTTAAACCAGGAGTTCCTGTAAATGAAAGCAGGATTTTGTATTACTTTCCTCATTGAGTGAGCTTGGTTTTAAAAGTGGAAACAGTTGGAAAGAAGGTGATACACTTTTATGCTCGACCCAGAAATTGAACTCTATCCAATTAAAATGATTATGAAAAGAAGTCACAGTCATTTGCATATCCATAACATTTATCATGTCGCAGCCTGGTGAGCTCCTAAGACGTGTCTCCTCGCAGCGGGGCTGAGCTTTCTTGCTAGACTGAATCCATTCAGCTTCTGTTTAACTGACGATAAATGGAACCAGAGTCCTCTGCAAGACCACAGAGGAAGAGGTGCTAAAATTAAATTTCGCCAAACAGGCAAATATCAGCGTCCGATTCCTCCATCTTCTTTCTCACAAGTATTTTTCTTTGATCAGCAAGTGAATAATGAATAGTGAAGGTGAGGATCCGATTTAGCCGTTACTTAGGGTGGGTAGTTCGCACCTCTTCAAGCTTCTCCTCAGGATTTTTGAGGAGAACAGCAGCAGGTTGGTGGCTGTGTTGGTCACTGCAGAATAACCGTCTTCATTATAGCCAGGCACTGCCTGCACTGGTAATTTGCCCCAGCTGCAGCTGCAGTGGTGCAGATCCCCAGCAGAGCTATGTTTTAACTCAATTTCAGCTGGGAAATTTTCCCTTTTTTTTTTTTTTTTTACAGAAACTGCTTTGGAAGCATTGTTAGCTCATCCCAGACTCTACTATTGTCACTGTGTCACAACATGTTCTTGTGTGGCGTATCATTTTTTGTCTCCATTGTGGCCAAAGATGGGATAATGATAATTTTGTTTCCTGAAACAAAACAGCAGGATCAACTTTGCTCAGTCCCCTGCATATAATTCTCACAAAATAGATAATTAAATGTTGTGTCTAGATAGTCCCATTTTGTCTTTTAAATGAAATTCCAAGGTTTTATAAACTGATAATTTTGGCACGTGGTGGACTATGACAGTGATGGCATTCTCCTTTTCATACTTACGGGCAGACCGTGGGAGGAAGATAACAGGAAGAGCAAGGTGGTTTGAGATGAGAAATGTATGAGGAAAATTATTGAGTAGCTGTCTCTAATTCAACTCAGTATCTCACAAAATTATTTTTTGTCTCCCTTTTTTTAAATTGTTATTCAGTGTTTTTACTTGGGGTTAGCCTTAAATAATGCAGCCTAAATTGACGAGTCGTCCTTTTATTTTAAGCATACAACAGAACATACGCTTAGTAATTTGACAAATTATTTTTACGAAATAATAGTTCTTTCTTTGCTTGCCTAATATGGCAAGTGCAGTGTTACTTCAGTTTTTTATTGAATTAATGTCCTTCTTCTCTAATTATATTTCTACTATTTTTTAATATATTTTAAATTAGTTCTACTAGCGTATATAAATAAAATAAGTTTCATCTAGTTCCTGCTTTTCCAGGTGAGCAATATTGCCTTTCTAAGGCATTACCTATACCTGGTTTGTATTACTGAAGAAAACCCGTATTTTTCTAACCACTAGCCGGTGTTAATCCATTCTCTTGTTTTTCTGTGAGAAGAATATTCGAAAGAACTGGTAAATAGTGCAATAGATAATATAATTTATTATATCACCTAATTACATAATGCAATTAATGTTATTTTTATTACAGTCTTACTTTTTTATAGTTAGATAAAAAGTCTGTCCTAAAACAATGAGTGGTATAATTTAAACTACAAATTTTCTCTTTTCATTTGTAGAAAAAGAACAGTTGGGTGCATTTTCAGATTTTAAAAGCCTAGGCAATAAGAAAACCCCTCTATTTTTGCTGTAGACAGAAGTTTATCTCACAGGAGATGGCTGCACACAGACTCTTCTTGCTAGTTGTGAATAGTTTATATCTTCTCTAAACTTTTGTAACTAAAGAAATATTTCTATATTTATTATATATGATATTCCAATCAAACAAATATTTTTTTCAGAAGAAAGGCAAATATATATATAAATACTGAAAAAAAGAGAGTAATCCTTCTCCTTTGTTCCTGAATTTATCTTTACAAAGTGAAAATGGTAGTTTTGGGGTAGTTGGGGGTTGTGAATGATTGTATCCTGAAGTGCTATAATCGCCACAATCAGTTATTAGAAAAAAAAATAAAAACACCACCAAACTTTGAGAAGCAATCAATTACTTTATTTGGCTATTATTTTAATTTGTTGCAACCTGTGTAAATATTTTGGCAAAGGCCTAAACTGATCACAGACACCAAAATAACTTGAGTAATTACATAGCGAATTGATTAGTTAAATACCTTAATTGAAACCCAAAATAAAACAAACTGACTTCTTTACTTGAAAAAGTGGAGAAAGTATGAAATTGACAGCAAGAAAAAAAATATTGAGGGGGATGGCTTCAAAAATATTTCTCCCTTGTTTCGCGGTTGGCTGGTACTATGGATAAATTAGTCCTCCGGAGAAGGTAATAGGTACCATCTCTTCCTCGATTTGTGGTTCTCACGCTCCTAGGGCAGAGAGCTTAGTTTCCCGCAGGGAAAGCAGGCCATGTCCAGAAAGCCTCAGCAGCGTGTCCCGCTGACGCCTCGCTGCACTGTTGTGCTGGCAGCTACAGCCCCTGATTAATTTTTTTATAGATAGGGAACGGAGTGAACTCAACAAACACAAGCAAATATTAAAACTGCAGCAGGCTCAGCGAGCTGGGGCTGCTGCAGCAGCAGCTCTGAGTGAGAAGCGCTCGGAGGCACCAGAGCCTTCCTCTGTGGGCAGCTGGGTATCGCTGCCCGCTGCGGGACTGGCATCATCCCCCCAAGGAGGAGCAGGAGATGGGTCACTGACTCTGAAGAGTTCATCTCGAGGTTGAGCTACTTTCAGTGAGGACTGGGCCCTTCTCTGCAGAGCGCTGTGTTTTTTATCATAGAATCATAGAATGCTTTGGGTCAGAAGGGACCTTTAGAGGTCACCTAGCCCAACCCCCTGCAGTGAGCATGGACATCTTCAATCAGACTAGGTTGCTCAGAGCCCTGTCCAACCTGGCCTTGAATGTTTCCAGGAATGGGGCATCTACCACCTCTCTGGGCAACCTGTGCCAGTGTTTCACCACCCTCATAGTAAAAAATTCCTTCCTTGTATCTACTCTAAATCTACCCTCCCTTAGTTTAAAGCCATTGCTCCTTGTCCTATCACAACAAGCCCTGCTGAAAATATGTTCCCCATCTTTCCTATAGCCCCACTTCAGGTATTGAAAGGCTGCAATCAGGTCTCCCTGGAGCCTTCTCTTTTCCAGGCTGAACAGCCCCAACTCTCTCAGCCTGGCCTCATAAGAGAGGAGTTCCATCCCTCTGATCATTTTTGTGGCCCTCCTCTGGACCTCCTCCTGGAGGATGCAGGACTCCAGGTGGGATCTCACCAGAGCAGAGCAGAGGGGCAGAATCACCTCCCTTGACCTGCTGGCCACGCTTCTTTTGATGCAGCCCAGGGTACAGTTGGCCTTCTGGGCTGCGAGCGCACATTGTTGGCTCATGTCGAGCTTTTCATCTACCAGCACCCCCAAGTCCTTCTCCTCAGGGCTGCTTCCAATCCCTTCATCCCCCAGCCTGTATTTACAGCGGGGGTTGCTCCGACCCAGGTGCAGGACCTTGCACTTGGCCTTGTTGAACCTCATGAGGTTCACACAGGCACACTTCTCAAGCTTGTCCAGGTCCCTCTGGAAGTGGGGTGACTCTTCTACAGGAACAGTGCAAAAAGACCAGGCAATAGCACTGGGTCACAAAATAGCCCCCCAGGGTGGGTTCAAGGGGAGGATTCACCGGCTTTTACAGCAGTTTCGGGTGCCTCTGATGGGCGAACCAGCTGTGGTCAAATGGTGCAATCCGGAAACGAAAGTGTATGTAGTGGAGAGGTGATCTAGAACATAGGGATTGCTTGAACGCTGGGACTTCTGAGGGTTTTTCTTGTCATGGGTTATTAAAACTTAGAAATGGCACTTTTAATGATTATTTAAAGATAATCAGGATGAAAATTGCTTCCCAAACAAAAAAAGTGTCTGGTGCTCTTATGTAGTAAGCTACAAAATAACTCTTAAAACTGTTACAGCAACTCCGAGCCAATATGAGGGAGATGGAGAAACTCTGCTTGCGAGTCCGACAGGAAGACATCCCAGTTCTGCAGAGAATGATAAATCCAGTTAAAGAGGAAGCTTCATTTGCCATAAAAGACTTCCTGCAGCTCCATTCTGAATCTGCAGAAGAGCTTAAAAAGCAGCTCGAAGGACAGGAGGATGCCTCTTTAACCAGATCTGCAACTGTAGGAGGAGGTAGCAGAATTTCATTTCTATATCTCTGATATCTGTATTGTTGTATGCAGTCCGCATTTTCTGACCAGAGTAACAAGTAAACAAATGAGATTTCAGTTGAAGAATATTTGTTAATCAACCTTATTTTTCCCCCACCACACTTTTCTCATGACCCGTGACTGAGTTTTCAGAAGTGGAGAATGCTCTAGTTGAAGTATCTTAAGAGATGAGATGGTTGTGGCCTTCCATGAAAGAGATCCTGTAGCCTTGGATCTTGAAACAGAAGACTCTTCATACAAGAAGAACGCTTACATTCATGTTTTGCAGTAGCTTGACTTCTTTCGCTTGCCCCTGCAAATCACTTGATTGTGTGCGAGTAATAATTTAGGCCCTTTTCATTGAATTAGCACTTGCAACATCAAGAAGAAAACAGTTCTTATATGACAGACAGTATAATGTGCCACTGCTGAAATACCCGGAAAAGAGGAGTGAGTCTCTATATAAAGGAGAATATCTCTTCCTGTAGCATTTTGTCTCGGTAACTGACAAGAAAGCAGAAAACAGTATAAATCCATTTAAATAAAAGATTTTGAAAACACACTGTAATGTGCTATGAGTCAGACATGTTTGCTGTTTATCCCTCCTTTCTCTGGAAAATGTCTTGCATTCCTAACGTTCTGTGTTCAGGAGAAGCCCTCATTATGCCCTGGTACCAGCTAGTGTTCTCTTCTAATGATCTGTGAGAAAGTTGGTTGCATCAGGATTAAATTCTTCCACATAATAGTAATTAGTTTGATTGCTGCAGTAGCAGTATTGTTTAAAATTGTTTTGAAATTTCATGTGTCTAAAATCGAAAGAGTATTCTCAGTTAATGGCATTGTAGAAGGACCTGCCATCAAATGTGATTTCATGATCCTTCTTGTTGCTATATAGAGAACTACAAGAATTCTTTCAAGTGTGATTAACAAGCCAGCAAGTCTAATGGTCAAACAGGGAGAAAAGAGAAGTAAATTTAGAAGACTGGGCTTGCTTTTGGGAATGTAATTTGCAGTAGTATCAGAAAGCCTTATGAATGTCAAGATATATTGAATATAGAACCACAGAATGGTTTGGGTTGGAAGGGACCTTTGAAGACCATCTAGTCCAACCCCCCTGCCATGGGCTTGGACACCTTCCACTAGACCAGGCTGCTCAAAGCCCCATCCATCCTGGCCTTGAACACTTCCAGGGAGGGGGCATCCACAACTTCTTTGGGCAACTTGTTCCAGTGTCTCACCACGCTCATCATAAAAAATTCTGTCTTCTTACCAGGCCAATAAAAAAGACTGAATTGGCTTCTGATGTACGCGTCTTGACTTTCTGAACACCTTCAGCATCTTGTAGTTGATTGTTCAGTAGTTTGTCCTAATACTCTTTGTGGGTTTCACAGTCTGGTTATTTGCTTCATTGTCCTTCCCCTCCAAAAAAATAAGATAATAACTAAGTCTGTTCTCTTGCAGTCCTCTGGGACCCTCTGGCTCAGCTGTTATTTTCTTTCTTTACCTGGCAATGCGCTTGTACTTATTTTGTCCTCCCCTAACTTGAAAAGCATTCACAGAAACTTTCTTGCTACCATTTGTGCCCCTTGGTAGTTGCAATTTATTTGTGTCCTAGTCCTTATGATAGCAACTTTCCAGGCTTGTATTATTGCTTGTACTCATTTTAATTGTGTGTTAAATTCTTGATATCCAGGGCATTGAAGAGCTCTTGCTGAATCAATAAACATTTTGCTCTGCATTAGGAAAATTTTCTTTCATCTTCAGTATAGCCTGTTTTATTAGTGTAATATAGTATAGACTATTTTAGTGTGTATATATATATTATATAGTATATGTTTCATATATATTAGTATATATGTATATACACTATAGTATAGTATAGACTGTTTTTTGAGTGTCTGCCAGCTCTTCTGCAGTTCTTCATCTTTTAGGAACTTCTTCCCCATAGTTTCTATTAATCTGCCAAATGTGTTAATAACTCTTTTGGGCAGAGCTCATTGTCTTCAGTCTTTGAGTTTTAGAATAGTGAACTCTGGTATTCAGTGATCCCCCCCTCAACCATATTAGCCATTACTTACAGGCTCTTTGTGAGCTCTTCTCTGTTACGATCACAATTAAATTTAAAATATCTCTTCTTTTGCTAACTTTCTGCAGTTGTCTTCAATACATTCTGGTATTTCATTGGAACAGCCTTGTCTTGGCTTATTGCTTTTCTAAGAGTTACATGGGTATTAAATGGGAACTAGAGTTTCATTTCAAAGAACAGGACTGCTTTTTTAATCTGAAATACCTTTTAAGTATGGAGGACATTGAGCATAAATGCTCTTCAGAAAGAGAAGAAATTGATCAGAAAGATTGGGATGAGAAGAACAGAAAAATATTGCAGGAATGATACGCTCCTGCAAGGCTGCTCAAGAATACAGGAAATAATTCACCACATGTAAAGTGAAACATACTGACAGGCAGACAACTAAATACAATTAAACAGTTTTTTTTTTCAAGTTTGCCTGACAGTGAAAGCAGCTCTGTTGAATTGCTAACACAGTTGCAATATATTGCCTATTCTTTTGTTCATAGAGGCTGCAGTCCTGAAAGCAAATCTTGGCTGCTGATTTTAATCACAGGAGCTTCAGTCTGCCCATTCTTTGTAGCATGTTGCTTCCCATCTGGTAGAGAAGGAAGGAGTTTACAAATTCAAATTGCGCGTTTAGAAGGCATGTCAGTGAAATGATGTGGTCCCTTCCCCCCTTCGCTATCCTTGCCTCAGGTCCAATAGAAATCGAATTTAATTGCATTTTGAACAAATATTAACAAAAGGTGAGACTGCTCTTAAAATTACTAGTATCTTCTAACCAATGTACTGAATCTTCTGGAGCACTGGATTTTTATCTTGAGTGTAATGAGGTGCAAAGCTGCTCTATGAAATCTGCAGAGATGTTTTGTGTTGCTGCATTTCTGTGGAGATGCTGTAAGTGAACCGGTGGAGCCACTTCCATTCTCAGTTCTATTAAAAATGGTTAGACTTGATAAAACATGAACTAGTGAATATGAATTTTTACTCATACTTTCATGCCAAATGTGACTTCACCTTCTCTTACCCTTCTTATTCTTTAGTGTTTTGAAGTGAGTAAAGAATTTTCTTGAGGGATTTTTTGCACCGATTTTTAGTTATTAGAATATGAAAGCAGTGTAAGCCTACTTTTAAGTTGTCTTGAATGTGTGTCGTGCAAAACTTCAGTATCATTCATGTATGTTGTCTACAGTAGGTCAGCATAGATTGTTAAGGACAGACCAGAACAGGGAACATAATTTGTGAGGAGGCAGTTTTGCTTAGTTAGCTTTTTTTTTTGCTTTCGAATTATGAATATTTTAATTTCAACCAACTTAGCATGCATGTGGCTGATGAGGGAAGAGCACACTTTTCTTGGCAGAGTAAACTTGATTTTGAAATAAGATTGTGAAGGACTGAAATGCAATAAAATACTCAAACCCAATGTTAAATGTCAGAATATGTAGCAGAATTGGTTTACTCAAAAATGGACACATTTGGATACATGATTAATTATACTGAAAAGGGAAAAGGCATATTTCAGCACTGAGTATGTAACATTAAATAATCTGATGCTATAGATCAAAAATATGTTCTGGAAGAAAAGATGATGATTGTAGAAGGTGAAGTGCCTTCCATGTCTGGATTCTTAAAGGAAAAGGGGCAGAAAGAAGGAAAACCAAGCCCAAAATAAAACCCCAAATCCCTTACTGCATCCCTGTTACTCTGCTACTCTGCTTACTTAGTAATTACAGCTGAGTATCGGCTTCGCTGTGTTAGACTTCTGTTGATCTGAGAGCAGGAAGATTAGGTCCTTAATGTATTTTGAGATACTGGGATAAAAATGTTGAGAAATGGACAAATGTTACAAAAATGTATCAGTTTTATTTTATCTTAAATTAATTCCATGAGTACACATGCACTGACTTTTTACTGAATATGATTAATTTTATTTGTTTTCCATTGTTTGTTGTAGTAACAGTTATATAATATTATTATAGTACCTTGGTACATTCATTGTTTCTAAAGAAGATTTTAATGCAGTATTTACACTTTAATAGTATGAGACATAGCTAGCCAGTATTCCCCGTGTTAAGCTTTCTCTTGATACTGCCCTCCCAGGGAAGGAAACGTCAGTGTCCTACTAAAGTAGCCATCTTCCTTCAGAAATGGAAGTTGTCTAATTTAACGTGATCTTTGCAGTCTGTTCACATACATACACCCTCCAGTCTGCCTTTCGTACTCTCAAGCTATTCCTTAATCCTTGCTATGACAAGCCAAACTTCTTCTTATTCTTTATTACCAGATAATTCCTTGTCCATAATTACGCACGTGTCCATTCTATCTGTAGCGGCTCAAGACTGGGCTCTTCTGCTCTCCCCCATGCCACCTAGCTTCTCTTATTCCCCATTTTTTCCACCGTACTTTGTCCTAATGCTTTCTGCGTTCAGTCCAGGTGATTTGGAAAGGAAGATACTTGAGAATGTCTCCTTTACACTACTGAGCTGCAAACATTTGCTGTCCTTATGGTCCCGTTGCCCAGCCGCGTCCAGCACTGAGCGCTGGGCAGGATGCTACTAGGTTTTCACTGCTTTTGTTTGGAAAGCTTTTCCCTCTGGCTTCTTTTAGCCCTCAGTGGCTGAACATCAAGCCGGCAGCATGATAATCAATCATAAAATGAATAACTGTTTGGTTTTGGAAGAGCGCTGTTGTTAGGTGTTGCACGTAAATGAAAAGGTTTTGTCCCAGGCTCAGTTTTCTTAGCTCGGTTGATACAAAATTAATTAACTGACTTTGAATTCAGGAGCATAATCTAATATAATTCTCAGAACTGATTGTGAAAGGGTGCTGATAGAAATTAATCCATTTCTTTGGTAATAACTTCCTTTTAAGAAACTGTCTAGTGCTGTGAGTAAGACTTTTCCCTATATGATCCTTTCGGGGCTGTTGCTTGGCTTGAGTTAGGTTAAATATCAGCTTATCCTCGAGAAACATTAAGAGTGAGAAACTTTGCACATGACCTGTGTTCTGATCCAGTGCATTTATTTATAAACGTCACGTTTCTCATTCAGAAACTTTACACAACACGGAAGTGAAGGACGGCTCCCAGAGCTTAATCCAGATCTACTCCTGCCTTCCCCAGATACCTCAGGAGGAAAACGCAGCTGAGTCCTGGGAAACCTTAGAAGAGGTATGTTGAAACTCCCTTACTGCCACATTGGTGCTCTTGTTTTTGGCAACTGTTACAAAATAACATTGTTTTTTATTGCAGGACTTGATTCAGCTTAGCCAGTTGGTGACTGATTTCTCTCTCTTAGTGAGTGTAAGTATGAACTCTGCACTCTGTCCTAGGTAGAGGTTTGTACAAAGAGAGGGCGAAGGGGTAGCTCCTAGCTGGGGGGAGGAAAGACGAGCAATACTGCTGCCTGTGGTCTGAACTCAGGCTGAGCTACTATCACTGAATCAAAGTGACAGAATAGCAGAATAATATTACCTGAATTTATTCAGTCCAACATTCAGGACTACAAAATCCTAGTCGCTGTTAGGAACTTCAGGAAGACGCCAGCACAGGCAGAGCAGTTTCCTCACAGTGAGCTGAGATGCCTGCACGGAGGTGCTGCCTTTGCTACTGGGACCTACGGTAAATACACCTAGAGTTTCAGGGCCTGTACGCTAGATCCTTTCCAAAGTCATAGGTGATGCATATAATGATTACATCAGATTGTCTAGCAGTGAGGTGAAAGGTTTTCTTTTGATTTTCAAGTCGCAGCAGGGAGGAATGTTCAAAAGCATCAGCTTAACTCCTCAGCTGCCCCGCCTGGTTAGAGAACTAACAGCTCTTCGCTCCCCGCATCAGTGACTCATTGCTCCCAGTATCTTTGTGGCTCTCCAGCTGATTCAGGCTCTGTCAAGAGAGCCTGTTGAGGAGCTCACAGTTTGCTATTTCAGCACTGGTGCTGGTAATTGCTCCGAAGTTCTTGTCTCCCGGGCAACTACTGCTGTTCATAGAATCACAGAATGGTTTGGGTTAGAAGGGACCTTAAAGATTGCCTACTCCCAGCCCGGCTGCCGGTGCTCTTGGCCACAAGCTGGACCTCAGCAGAAGCTCTGCAGTGTTGACCACAGATTTCTACCCCAGTCCCACTGATGTTTACAATTTCTAATCATAATGGTGACGATAGCCTTCACTGCACAGGGTGGGTGTTTCTCAGGGACTTTCTTCTCGCTTAATCAGGAGTACTAGAAAAATCTGAGGTTTCCCTCGCCTTTGTCATGCCTTTTCTCTGCTCTCACAAATGTGGCTGCCAAAAGGTTGTGTGTCTTCATCGTCCACACTTAGTTAGTTCCCAATGTTCAGTTCTTCCTGCGCCACAGGGAATTTAAGCCCACAATCCTCATCTCCTAGTAGAGTTCTTCAATCTCCTTGTTGTTGGGTTAGCTGGGGTAGATAAAAGAGCTTTTATCCTTTCTGCTGAATATGTGCTGCTTCACACACACACAAAAAGACTAAGATACATTAGGCTGGAAAGGGACTGCAAAAATTTTTATTCAGTAGCCTAAATGTTAGCAGCTTTAGCTAAAAAGAGGAGTTCCTGTTCCCGGAACTTGCTGGATTTTACACATAATCATCATTAGATATAACAGCAAGCAGCTAAAGTGCGAGGATTGGATAGCAGATAAAGATACCAGAGCTGGTGGATTCGGCAGTTTCTCGATGAGAAAGAGGAATGCCTTTTATTTTAAGCTGCCATCTCATTATTTTGTGACATGAAACAGCCTGGGTACCGCTGAGATTAAAATAAGAACAAACAAACCCACAAACCCCTTTATCTCCTGCTCCAGTGCGTTCTCCGAGAGAGACTGCAGGGGAATCTGACTGCATTTGGAGAGAGGACGGAACGTTTTTGTAAAATTAAACAGTAAAATAACAGAGCAACAGCAAGTATATTTTCAGTACTGTCACTACTCTATTTGTAAAGTTAAGTCAGTGTTTTATAATGTCATAATTAAACACTTCTATTTAGATGTCTTGGTGCAGCTTTGTATTTTGGAGTTGGTACTGATATAAATGCTCTTTATAGAATTTTTTTTCTGAACGTGCAACGCAGCAGGAAACAAAAAGGCTAGTTTGGATTTTTTTTCCCTCTGGAGTGCGAGTTCATCTGTTCACAGGAAAGATTTAGAAATCACATGTTTTGGGTTGTTTTCTCCAACTGCAGCAGCACATTGTATGATACCCACACCATATTATTACTTAATAGTTAAGATTTTTTTAAAGTAAGTTTGTAGTTTCATCACAGTTTATCAGATGCTATTAATGAACCACCAATAAGGCTGCACAGCTGCAGTGTGGAGCAGATGAAAGCGGCTGTGGGACCCTGATTACAGGCATTAAAATGGTGTGTATTGGCTCACTGCTGCTTCCCAGCGGGTTACCTCACTCATAATTCCTTTGCATCTAGTCCCAGCAGGAGAAGATTGACAGGATTGAAGACCATGTCAACAGTGCTGCTGCGAATGTTGAAGAGGGAACCAAAAACTTGGGGAAGGTAGGGATCTGCTCCCGCTGGCGAATCAATGGTACTCTGCCTCCCAGCAGCCCTCTGTATTAACCCCATTGATCTGCCGTCTTTAATGCTGAGGGAGCCAGCAATTAAGGAAATAAGGAAGAAATGACCCACAGGTAGCAGGGAAAAAAAAAATCAATCTCTCTTGTAATTTTCTATCACATCCAGGCTACTAGGAAATACGAATTTTGCCTCTTTTTATGCTGTTCCGCTGCTACTTTGGTTTACCTGCAAAGATGAGCACATTCAGTGATTGGCTCACAAGAATCAAGGCAGTGTACAACAGCAGGCTGATGATAAGATGCAGCTGCAGTCCTGTTCTGTGGAGGTGCCAGTGGTAGTTGCTAATAACCCACAAACCTAGATTCAGGCGTGTTACTGAAAAGTCTGAGCATTTTCTCAGTTTCTCATTTGATTTAATGATGAAGACCAGGTAATAAATAGCATCAGGCAGAACCACGGAAAAGGACCTGGTTCACAACTGCGTACGTGAGAGAGCTCAATTTTGAGTTGTTTTTGGTACATTCTGTCATACATATGTGGGATAGTAATTCATCTTTTTTTAAATACCCATTTGTAAAGTTCATTTATCACTGAGCATTCAAGTCATTGCCAAGAGCAATGAGGGGGAAATGCACATCGCCACAGGCAAGTATTCTAACTATTTTTTTTTTCCCCCCTTTACAGGCTGCAAAATACAAGCTGGCAGCTCTGCCCGTGGCAGGTGCAGTCATTGGTGGAGTGGTGGGGGGTCCCATTGGTCTCCTTGCAGGCTTCAAAGTGGCAGGAATTGCAGCTGCACTTGGTGGTGGGATTTTGGGTTTCACAGGTGGAAAATTGATACAAAGAAGAAAACAAAAACTGATGGGGCAGGTCTCTTCCAGCTGTCCAGAGCTTTCTCGACAAAGTGCCAAAAAATCCAGCTGAAGTATAGATTCATTATGACTTGGAACAAAAGCGTAGTAGCCGTGCTAATGACAGACTTGCAGCCTTATGCTTTAAATACAAGGCTGAGGGCATGTGAATTTTGACATTACTGTTAATTGGGAGGGACGAAACAGTAATGTCAGAATTTCTCTTTTCAGATGTGGTGACATCAGTTCTTTGAAAATTATATGGATAACTTTTAATTATAAAATTCTTAGGTGCGCTACGTGCACAGCTGTAATGATGGGCGACAGATGCTTCATGCCAAATTTGCACAAAGTCTCTTGCAGACAGTAGAGAGAGGGACATTTGGGAAACCCTTGTGCTTTCCCATGAACGCCACCCAGAAGCTGGGGCTTTCATTATAGAGCACCAAAGAAAAGGAAGTAAGCTCCATCTATCTTTCATAATACTTTACATTTACTTTCGTTTATCTGGACTCCTCCTGTGTATACCCCTGAGACATGCCTGACTACGCCTGTTCAGTAACGCACAGGGAAGCACTGGTTGCCATAGGAAAAAGTTTAAAATGTTGGCTGAGCAAGGCGGGAAAAAACCAGTTGGGTCCATCCCACATCTGCCTCCATCAGCCAGATCAGCTCAGCAGCATAAGCAGCTTTTTACCCTTTTTCTGGTACTTTGTTTTTTTAATTTGTAAACTCCTCATCTTGTTCAAAGTGTAGTTAAGAATGAAACAGTCAAAGCAGCAACCCTGCAGGACTGCTGCCAGAGAGCAGTAATTTTCCGTGGCTGCTCAGCAACCTGCCTTGTCCCGAGCACACCACGCCGGCTGCGGTGCCAAGCTCCGGCATTCTGCGCCCAACGCCTCGGCTTCGGCCAGACGCTGCTCCTGCAGCTCCTCAGCTCTGTCTCTGCTGGGAGGGCTCAGGAGCTTCCCTGGAAGGCGGTGTGGCAGCAATCTGTGGCGTCAGGCACCAGGCCGAAGGATGGCGAGGCCAGCGTGTCGCCCCTGAAAGGGTGCCCGCGTCAGCCGGCATCCCCAGATGAGGGGACTGTTTTGCAGAAGCCACCCTGATGCTGTTTACAGCAAGTGAGCCATGCTTGTGTGGGCCGGCTGCACCGCTCCTGCACGCTGTGCAGGTCTGAGCCCCCCGCTCCCACCCGCACCCCAGGGTGGCTTCTCAGCCTTTGCAAGATTTTGGGATGTGCTGTGGGGTGAGATGCTGTCAGTGCTTTTGCGAGCTTTTTATAGTCCATGCCTGTTATTCTTACCCTCCTTATTTTGCTGCTTAAGAAGCCTTTTGCTTCTGAAACTGCCATTGTTAAATAGGAGAGTGTTAACGTGTTTTTATTGTCGCATAATCATACTGTTGTCACATGATCTATCATTCAGCACATGGTCCTACCTCCATCCTTCCAGGACAGTTCCCACACTATTGCTGCTACTGTTCGGGGTGGGGGACGGACAGAAATTGAGGTTGGGAAGCCGCTTTTTAAGGTTTTTAAATTGTTCAGTTCATCCTGAGCTCTTCTTGAGTTTCGTTAGGTGACCGCTGCAGTCAGTGTTTAGGGGTCAGGCTCCCTAGCAGGGAGCGCTGCAGGAGGAAGCAGGCTGGAGAGAGAGCTCTCTTTTCTTAACCGGTACTTTGATATCATCATTGGAAATAACTGTCTGCTAATGACAGATGATAGGTTTTTGTGCCTAGAGACACTGTAAGCAACTGTTAGCTACAGCACAAACACTTTTATCTGAAGAGTTCTTCCTTACTACTTTTAAAATATGATTGAAACTGCTATTAATGAAACTGTGTCCATTTTAAGTGGGTCTGAGGCTCAGGGAAGCAACGTGTGCAAGAATAGTTTTCACAAGGAATCACAAACATCATCAAGACTGCATGTGTTAAAGCCACAGTGCCTACATCTAAAATCAGCTGGAGTAGAAAACATAAGTAATTCAGCTCATTTGCTCCTGTCAGGCAAAAAACACTTCTCTCGAGATGCACCTACTTTGGATGTAAACACATTTAATGAGCTTGCAGCAACTTCAGGCTAGGGCTATTCATTCCTTTAATAGGTAATTTCTACATTTAAAGGAAGAAACTAAGGGAAAAAAAAAAGTATTTTTAACCAGAAACTGTGTTTGATTCTTTGTATGATTTTAAAAAGCCGTGTCTGCTTTCCTCCTGTATGCTTTGAAACCTTGTGCATTTAAATGACAGCAGCCACATCGGAGACACTGCGGCCTCCACCCTCTCCCCCCGGGCGGGGCTATGCCAGGACAATCTAAATTCATAAAACCGAATTCTTGCCACAGCTTACACAAACTCAGTGTGGTATGTGCTCATTTTATTAAATGTCTAGCACAAAAACTATTCTTCTTCCTTGCATCTTTGAGGAAGCAATTTCAAAACATTGTGTACACAACTAGACTTGGGAGACTATTATTTAATGTATGATTTTTTAAAAATAGATGGGTTGTTTACATATGTGAAGAAACACAGGCATCTCAGTAACCAAACTAGCATTTAAAGTGCTAGGCACGTTACTCGGAAGAAATGTAAAAATATACACAATTCTTTCACACCAAATAAAAATTTTTGCCCGTCAGCCTGGTTGTAGCATTTATTGAGAACATTGGGGTTTATCTCCTTTTAGCATCTAAAAGATTAATCCCTCACATTTTCTATATTAAAATAATTGTATTACCAAGATGTAAGAATCCTGTATTGAGTTACCAAACACATGCTTCAGCTACTGAAATATTTACATTGACCGAAATTAACACAGCTTCCTAAGATGTTGCATGCACGTACTAATTCACACGCATACGCTAGCTCGGAAAGGGACTCCTGAGGTTCAGTTAAGAGAGTTTGGAATGGTTTTGCTCCATAGGGGCCTGACACTAACAGCATTTGACAACTTCCCATGAAAGCCCGAGAAATGTTGACGGGACTGGTTAAAACCACTGATGTACACGATCAGAACTGAAGGGCTCTTTGAAACACTTCTCGCGTTTTGTCCAACACTTGCTTTCTCTAGGCTAATTCCCCGTTTCATCAGGTACTTCAAAAGTTCAAGCAATGCTCAACATCATGTTAGGCAGACCTAGACTTTAGCTGTTCAACCCCCAATGGCTGAATTGGACACACAGAATCACAGAATGGGGTAGGGGTTGGAAGGGACCTCTGTGGGTCATCTAGTCCAACCCCCCTGCTGAAGCAGGGTCACCTACAGCAGGCTGCACAGGACCTTGTCCAGGTGGGTCTTGAATATCTCCAGAGAAGGAGCTGAAATGACTCGAGTGCATAATTGTCATAAAACTCTTAAATCTAATTGTCCACCTGGGGTGCCAAGGCTCTGGGAACACGTCCTGACTCAGAGAAGCAAACTTGGATAAAGGAATGGCCGAGGAGCTTCGCCCCTTTCACTTTCTGGCTGAAAGCACCAGCCGCTGGCCTGGCTGTGACTGCTGGGTGTACGACAAGGTAGCATCTCTCTCCAGAAAGAGAAGTTTAACTGCTGTTGGGTGCAAGACATCTGGAAATAAGAAGCCCAAGGAAAAACAGGAACCTCAGAGGAGTGAGATAAGTACTTGTAGGCACCATGCAGGAGTTGACTAGAATTTTAGGTGCCCAAACAACTCCAGAAGTTCTGCAGCACCACCTGCAGATAAGAAGTGGCAGCCTTAAAACCAGACCCTGCTCACATCTTTGGATTCCAACTGGAAGGTGGTGTGAGTCCACTACCAAAAATGCTTCATCTGGCATGAGATGGAGAATGGGACAGGAGAAGACCTGGCTTTCAAGCACTTACAGTGCATGCTGAAATGCAGATTCACAAAACTAACAAAAAAAGTATGCCCATCACCAACATCTTGCAATATCATCTTAGCTACCAATTCTGCACCCGCCCAGTTAGCTCCGGCTTGGTGGTGGTTGGTACCAGCAACTCCCTCCTCGGAATCACCCCCGAGAAGGCTCCCGTCCCTGTTGCTGCAGGGGCTGGAGGCAGCAGCATCTCCTGGGATCCGCTTTCACCACAGCTGCATAGGACCCTGTCGGCCTTCCGCTGGTAACCGAGGAGGCGGCACCTAGCCGAGAGGCGCAAGCAACCCTGAGCGGTGAACTGCACGGGCTGGGGCACTCACCGAAGTAAACACGAACCCAGCGCTCTCAAAGAATATGCAATAAATAAGGCACAAGCCAGACAAAAAGAGAAACAGAAAATTTCCAGTGGATGTCTGCCAGGAGGGCAGAGACCCAAAGGAGAAAAAAAAAAAAAAAGACATAACATGTACATCCAGAGATTAATTTAAGACTGGCGAAAGTAAGATGGCAGTCCACTCCTAGTCCTCTCCTACTTCGAAGGGTTTCCAACATTCGTATTCTTTTAACACAACTGTGTGGATAATACAACAATAATTCCAGGACGTCGGAGCAGGTCAACGCAGCCCCTTCATTCAAAGTACAACCATTATCATTAAAAACCTTTTCCTTTCCTCGCTTGGTATTTTAGTAGTCAGAATGACTTAATCGCTATAGACATTTACACCCAGTAAAGCACCACACAAGATTCTGTAAAACTTTAATTTATTCCCCTCCCAAGTATCCAGAATAGAAGACCCTCTTAAGTTGGAGAAAAATGTGACAAAGAAATAGATTACCAGGATAGCTGTTCACATGAAGAAGAAAAAGCACATACTACCAAGGTTACACAGAAAACAACCCAAAAGCCCTATTTAATGGGATAGTGCAAGTTAACAGTATGTCTCTGGCACGGATACCTTCATTTGGATTATAAAAGGTTAGATCGAGAGTCTGGATGGGTCTCTGCTATTTTACTGTAGCATTAGGAACGTACTGTTTGAAAGATGCTGTACAGAATGACCCACCAAACAAATGTATTTACAAGCCTGGGGAGAAAAAAATTATTTTTCAGTTTATTCAAAATAAAAATACACATAGAATTATGAAAATATAGGTTTACTATTTCCACCACACCGAAGTCAATGCTGCTGTCTGAAAGGCTTGCAAGATTATTTCAAGTTTTTAAAGTTCATCTTTTTCCCTCAATAAGGTGTACCTATGTTCACTGGGTGCCAGTTTCTGGAATGAGCTCTCTGGTGGGCTGCTTGCTAAATCCTGAATTGGCTGAAAAACAGAACAAACAGTAAAATTGCTTGTTAGACTAATTTTAATAATCCATCACCTCCATTAAATGAACTTCTAACACTAATTATGAGAGTGCACGAACGTTCAGCATTCTCACAAATTGAGGTGGGTTTGTTTTGGAAGGCATATTGTAAGTCCCAAGTAGGTGGAATACACAAACACACGCTAATTAATTAAGCACCGTCAGTTAAGGATACTAGTATAGTTGGCACATCTCGAAGGTAATGGCCATCACACAAGTTTCTGTACAAGTGACTTAAAAGTACTTCAGATGCATGGCACTGTAGGTTGGTTCAAGCCTGTCTACCCCTCGCTTTGAAGGTATTCTGGTTCATGTGTTTGTTTTTGAGATGCGTCAGGGCAGAAGCGACACCACTGCCAAAACATTTTAGAATTTGTTTTTTGCGGAAACTGCAAAACCCAAGCGTGCAATTCAAGGGACACACGTGACCTGGGACAGCAGCCTCCCGTTCAGCGAAGGCCACTACGCCCACCGCACAGGCTGACCGGTCTCCCACGAGATGGCAGGATGCCATGTGCAGATGAGCAGGCAAACGTCCCCAGTTCTGGGAGCATTTTTCAAGGCAGAATGGAGTCAAGAGCAAGCCTGCAGCTCCAGGCAACGAGCCTGTGCCCCAACAGGCAGCAGGATCCAGGGGCTCAGGAGGCTTCCCGAAGCCACACATGCCCGGCTAGCTCCGAGCTGACCGACTGCTTGGCCTACGCCTTGGTCTCCAGCCCTGCTTTCTGTGCCTCCTCCTGTTGACCCGAGTTCTGGTTACTCAGTGAATTCCTGAGAAACACAGGGAGTTACCAGTTAAACTAATTACTGCTGAGACAATTCAGCCCTCGTGTTTTCAGGGCCAGTCATCACAACATTGAAAGGCAGTCATTCTCCTGGCCCAAGGCAAGCCCTCCAGGGCTTTCATGCTTTTAAATCTTTTAACTTTGAGCAGGACAACAGGAGGCTGCATGCACACAGCTTAGCGCAGAGCCACCCTTACCACATCCCACGGATGACCAGCAAAAACGAGCCTGTAGCCATAAATCATTTCTGTCCCCCACCCACGGGCTCTGCGATGGGCTGAGGCACCCCAACGCAAGGGCACTGGGTCTTCTCTGCGACCAACGTGGCTCTCTGAGCCCTAGACAAGGTAACATGTAACTTAAGAAGTGTTTAAAACCAGTTATTTCTTCAGAGAGGGCCTGAGGTAATGAGAATAACTGACAGGCAGTTATGTTTGCACTTTTCAGCATGACACCAAGCGTATGAGCTGAGCGGTGTATCAAGAAGACACAAGGCTGATGAAGACACAGTTAGAAGACTGGGCTGAGCAGAGGGAATCGGGGCTGGTAATGTCCCGTCTTTTCTGCCTCTTGGATTAAACTAAACACTGAGGTGCTTCTGGGTTTTGTCTGGAGAAGGAACTAGTAGCTGTGGTTCCTGAAGAGATCCCAGAACATACATCCTCCAGGCATGTAATTATACAGCATGACAACCTTGGTGCAGACAGGTGACAAATCCAAACCGACAAATGCAGCCTGTGACCACTATCAATGCCGCTTGTTAACTGCATTAGTAAAAGTGATAAGCCCTATTACTGCTTATCAATCTTTTGTTGGTGCTCTAATAACCTGCCTCCTTGCTTGGATTGGTGACTACAGGAGTAAATACAGGAAACATTCAATCAACTGATGTTTCCCCTTAGAAGCACCCTCTCATAGCGTGTCGTCTGGGAAATAACGCATCCAAGATTATCATCAGTTTTTGCACGCGGGGGGAAGGAATATTCTTATACTCTTCCCTTATGCCAGGCAAACAGGTACCATACTTCCCCCTGATACTCTCCCTGCCTTTACCCAAAGGACGTTAAAGGAAGAGCCAAGCAGAAGTGGCAACGTTAGGCTTCTATAAACAGGTTTCTCCTTCAGGAAACTGAAGTTAAAAGCACACGCACGTTAGAAAGTACAGCTCTGACAAGGAGTGAAAAAAGGTCTTTATTACATGGCCAAATTAAATGTATTTGTTGTAACCTTACCTGACCAGGTGCTACATCAGTTGGATCAGGGCCATGATGAAACTCTCTATGCAATTTTCCAGAATGCAAGTCTAGTACAAATTGCTTCAGTTTGCCTGGAACTCTGGAACAAATCCAGCAGAAACACCCACGTTTATTACAAGTTAAATCCAAACACAGAAGATTTAAAGTGCGCTGTTTAGAGTAGCCAATTTCTGTTTATCTGGCACACTATGTCCACTTTCAGGTGATTAATAGAGGACAGGGAGCCAAAGGGTTTGTTAAGGTATCCTACCAGTTTCTTTTTCTTTCCACTGTCTCTTGAGAACACAGCAAGTATTTCATCTTTTCAATAACTCCCACAGAGTGGTACTAGCCGATAACTTCATTGTATACTCACTTCAGCTCCCCACTAACCGTAATGTAAGAGGGAACAGCAGGTTCCAAATGCACAGTTTACAGATACAAATGACAGTTGGGTAGCACTATTGACAAAACACCTTTGAAAGGCTCTCTAGTGCCTGAGCAACTGCATATATACTGGGGATAAGCTCTAAGAGGACATCAATGTAAATCTAATCTGAGATCACCTACTGTCACCCACAGCAAACGTGCTGAACTACAGCATCCAATTTTATTTGCCAAACGTCAAATAGACTAAAAAGCTTAAAATGAAGAGTTGATCTAATAAGTATTAAAGATGAGATAAAAAGTGATAACGTGAGCACTGTGCATGCAATCAAAAGGTAATGTATGAATGGAGACAGGTTTTGTGGGGAGACTTTTGTCAGACCAGTTATTACACTGAGGAAAGAGGGACAAAGTGTGGTCAGACGGGCTACCAGCAGTATTTCAGACCATTAGAAAACTCTACATTATACTACGCTTTATCCACAGAGTCAGAAGGTACCACTACAGCAACGTCTGTAACCCATCAGTATGACGGTGGTACTTTGAGGGGTCTCTCCACCTCCCAGGTCAGATCAGGGATTAGTACTGATGGAGAGAAAGGGGGTTCGTTCCAGCTCTGCTGTAGGACAGCAGAATTGCTGTCCCCTGCTTCACCTTGGGCTCCTGCCCTGTTCTAGGTCAGGCACACTGCTGCAGACATTTCCCTCCAACCTCTTGTACTCTCCGGATGCAGCAAGGGCATCTGGTGCCTGCAGCCTCTTCTAGCTCGGCCAGTTCTCGCTGAGAAGCTACAACTGATCTGTTGAACGCTCCTTGCTATCATTTCTGACCTGGAACAGCAGGATTAATAGGGCCAGGCAGCCAAATTATGAGGACAAACCATTGGGTGGTGGCCTGATTTGCCTATGAAGTGGCTATTCTCCAAAAAGACAGCTCCCTAAAGAGAGACAAAAATCTTCTAGCAGGCCGGTTCTGAAAGTACCATATCCAAACCCTACTCGCTGGTGGCAGCACTGAGATTACAAGAGACAGTCTGGGGCCAGTTTGCACCACAGTCCAGAAAATGTAAAGTGACAGAAATCCTTGCAGGTAGATGAAAGTATCAGACTTAAGATTTTACCCATTATTAAAAAACCCACAAAACACCAAACCACAAACTGAACATCAAGCCAACCAAAACAAAAAAACAAACAACATACACACAAAAGAATATCACCCCAGGGGCTCCAAGCTCTCCTTATTTCCAAACTGTTTGTTACGTATTCCTAAGTATCAGCTCAATCTCCTAGAGGAAGGTTGAATAATTGTTTATCAGTAAGCAACTGCCTACAACTCTGACATCTCTCTCTCTCTCACACCTTCATTTGTACGTAACAATTGGTATACAAACAAGCAAGTAGCTTTTGTTATTCTGATAGAGTTTCACAGAAACAGAACATGTAAGACACATAACATGAAAGTCTAAACTAAACTTCTGTATTCCTCTACAAGAGATATTAATTTATTTTAGGGCTGTTTCAAAAGTGACAATAACAAGAGTGCTTTCAAAATGCAAATATCCCACGATTTTTTTTTTAAAGAGCTGGCATGTGCGGTGAACATGATCTTCCAAAGAAACGGGAACACAGGGAGAAAAATAGTCACTATCAGAGTTTCCACATACATAGCTTTAGCTATTTGAAAGGCACTATTTGAGATACATCAAACAGAGACTACATTTTTACAACAAGCCTGTGGAGAATTACGGAGAGAAGCTAGGTTTGAACCCTCTTTCCAAATGTCAACACTTCAGGTAGAAAAAATGCCTGCTGGAATGGCAGAATTAGGCATGGAGTTATGTTCACATTGCATGCTAAGTCTGAGCTTTGAATCCTTGACTTTGACAAAAATGAAATACGCTGAGTTTTTAAAAGTATGAATGGGCAAAAATTCAAGTCTTGAAGCCTGAGCATCTAACCAGGGCTTAACGAGCAGTGTATATGCAGGTACCTCCATTGAGACAGCAACTGGAGTTTACCACACAACCTAAAGACAAAGACAGAACGCTTGTCTCCGGCTGAAAGCCCCAGAAGATAACTTGTACACATCTTCACTCCTCAACCGAACCACGAGAGACAGAACGTCTCCTTCCAAGGCAGCACAACATAAAGGGAGGCTGATGTAAAGAGGATTACCAAAGCGACATTTCGCCTAAGCACCCCGATACTTCTCGCTCACATATTTTATCCAGATAACGTGCCAATGATCAGCCATTTTCCAAGCTACACTTGCAAAATTTCAGAAACGCATACAACAAAGATTCCTCTGTCAGCTTTCCAGGTTTAGACTAATGCAGGAAGACTGGAATTGCACAGCAGGAAAAACCAAACCAGCAGGCTGGGAGTTCTTACACGATGCATTTTACAGTAATCATTGCGTAACACAATATTTTAAACCTTTTTAAGTTAATTGCTATATCTAGATCACCACTAAACATATTGTGCCAGGCTTCAAATGCCTAACTATTATGGAAAAAAGCAAAACTTTTAATTCAAAGAGCAGCAGCATCTAAGAAACTTAATGTGAGATTTTTTTCTTGCATAAATCAGTGCAATTCCATTTAAACAATTGCTTCACGCCAATTCATATTACTTTAAGTCTCTGACATTGAATCATACACAGGCAGCCTCGCCTATCCCAGATTTATTCATCTTCCTATCATACTACTGATTAAAATATGAGCACATGCTTTTTCCTTTGTTCTTCACAAATCAAAATGCACAAAGAAAAATACTTACGACAAGTCACTGAAGTCTGGAAAGACATACATGTGCCTAAAGCTATCAATGGCAATAACAGGGCAGTCTGCTGGAGTCTTCTGAATATGGAGGAGTGGGTGCCTGAATTTATCACAGTCAGCGTGGAGGAAGTTTATTGTACCTTAAAATTGTGAGCAGAGAAAAATCCACGTTAAGATCTTTTTATTATCTTGAAACCCTAAACACTGTCCTTAAGTATTACAAAGGTGAAGATATTAGATAGACACAACATGCAAAACTTGAAAATAGATTTAAATAACTAACACCACCAAAATAACAGATTTACTGCAAGTGTTTTTTGCCACAACACAAACTGAAGTTTTGCTTAATGCCCTCTCAAACTGCACGAAGTCATTTAGACAAGAAGGATTTCCGAAATAGTTACTTACTAATAAATTGTGCATCTATTTTAATTATTTCGAGAGGAGCCAGTCTTCACTGTCAAAAGTACATAAAGCCCTGCGGGCTCAAGAGCTTTAAAGCTAGGATTCTGTTTGGCCTTTGCTTCCACTCTGAGTTTGCCTCAAAAAAATTACACCAGTAAAAACAAGAAGTAGTAGGAGCTGCTACAAACCTTTTTCACTTATTAACTGTCGTGCAACCTCCTGTTGGAATTTCTCTAAACTCTCCAAGTCATCTTTCATGTGGAAAAGTATGAGAAAAGGAAGGCCTTCTTCTGTCAGTTCCTGCACAGAAAACAAGCGACAAATCTCATCTCTTCCATTTCTTAAGAGCACTCAAGTACGTGATTCCAGCAATTTTCAAACTCGGTGAGATCTCTACTTTAAAAACAGTTGAAAGAACAGGACTAGAGATGTGAAGAACGTCTAACCCTTCACCTAAGATACCCGTGTGATACAGTTAACCGTGTTTCCTTCCGCTGTATTATATGCAGCAGATAAAGGGTAAAGGTATTTCATTATCAACACTTCAGGAAGGGACACACTTGCACCAGAATACTTGCTCAAAAGAAATAGCTCAGTTCTGAAAAAACACATCATCTTCAGAGAAACAGCAGCAAGGCCTGAACAGCATGGTATTAAATGCTATGAAAAGCTGAGCGTGTATTCTAGACCCAGTCCTAGCTTGGCTCATGTAATAAGTTGGCGTTTTCTTAGCATAACACAATAAATATCTTTGAATAACTCCACCCCCTTATCCCTCCAAAAAACCCCAAAGCACTGAAGAAAAAGGCAGAAGCTAACTACACAGCTATATCAGTTAGAATTAAGTACTACTCTTTTGCCAGTAACTGTGTCCTGACTGGTCATCTGTAAAACACCATTCTTAAATTCACAGGCTAGGCGTCAATTTCTTCATCAATTTTAGTAATAAAAATCTTTGCTGGACAGGCACACTTTAGTTCCTTGTAGAAATGCGTTCTTGCAGCCCAGGTGCCTTTTAAAGATCTCTGTCCAGGGACAGATAAATGTAGGACTCCTTGAGTAATTTATTCAGGATTTTTCTTTTACTCAAAACACCAAACAAAAGACAAACAACAGGCATTGCTGCTTCAAAAAGTGACTTCTAGGCACTTTCTGAACATCAACTCAACATCTGCTTTGGACTGCTCCCTCAAAAGCCACTGTCTCATTTTGCACTGAGAATATCAAACGGTTTCTCCTTAGATCTGAGCTTCCCACGTTACTTCTGTATGCCTTCAAGAAACTTTTTACCCTTTCAAAAATTTACAGTTCAGCACCATTGTTAGACCATACGGTTCATTGTATTCATACAAGATAAAACTAAACAGACTGATTACAGGTTAAACAGTGATTTCTTCTGAATGAGATTACTAATCCCAATAGCCTTTTCTTGTCAAGCACAGGGACCGTCTCTAACCCTAACAGTCTTCTAAAGCAGAAGACTTCGCTTCAGTGTTGAATTACTATGTGTCATCTAAAGTCACAACGATGAAATCTGTTCAGATTGGGCATCTTCCTGGCCAGCCTGCCCATGACGCTTACCAGACAATGAAAAGATTCAGAAAGAAAATGAAGGGAAAACCTACCAGCAGTTTACAGAGGCCCATTTTGATTTTGAAATTGAATTTAAACTCTGTGGTAGAAATTTTTGTCTTTATCTTATTTATGCGGTATTCTAGTACCATAAACACAGCCTAACAGTCACAGCACTTCATATTTTTATCCTGTAGTATTGTGCAGTAGGCATTAAGAACCCATTTAAATACTATACAATTTCAGGAGGAAGAAGTATGTGAATCTTGATGTGTTTAAATTTGTTTGGGTACTGGCAGCACTGAAATTTTAAAAGAAATGTTGCTAGGCAAAATGTCACATTGGAATTGTAAATATCTGCCTAAGTAAACAGGAATCGACGGTTGAGAGAACCAGAAAAACCACGACACAATGTGGTACAAGCTGACAGTGATGAACATTGGCTTCTAAAGCTCAGAATCCAATTTCACCATGGGAAAAGTACACTGAAAATCCACCACATGCTTCTAAACACGCTAACATGTGGCATCTCTTACATATTGAGTTGCAAATGAAGAAATAAAATTTGTTTAACTAAGAACTTTCCAATAAAAGCTGGTGGGGTTGACTAGAAGATTGTACTTGAACCGTTTTGTGCATCCCACCTTATCTCACCTTCTGTCACGTAGCCCGACACGCTGTGTGTGCCCAGAACAGCAGCGTTACATACACTGCAGATTCAGGATAAAAAAATTAAGCATGCAAACTGAGAATGAATCATATGACTGATTCTTTGGTTTCCAATCCAGTGCAGACAAAATACTGCAATTTGTTACAAACCTCACCAGAGGTTCTATCGGATGCTGTGGCTGTGTACAAATACTCTTTTTGAGATATTACAAACTTCCTAATTTTCTGAAGATTTTTTTCCTGTTGGTTATTTTACCAAAAAAAAACAGTATAATATGGAGTTGGAAGTAGATGAAAGAAGAGTAAATTACAAAAGAAAACAGAAAAGCATTGAAAGAAAATTGGGATAATGAGAAGAAAACAGATGTTTAAAAGCAAACCCCCAAATTCCATCTTATGAATTATAGCTAAAAGAAGAAACCCAAGGGAAAGAAAATGTGAAGCTAAAAAGATTAAGAAAGTACCAGTGCTTTAGCACAGACTGACAAAAAAAAAAATCACATGGTTTTTATTACAATTCCCAGAGACTGCCAGTTCCATAGATGGTCAGCCACCATTTAATGTGGTTATATATTAGATAATGCTTTGTAAGTGGTTAATACAGTAACATTTTTCTACTACTAACTTTAACATTAAATTTTAAAAGCTGATTATAACTAAAGGATAGCTCACAACTATTTTACTCTTTCAAACTGTCATGTACGTGCTGACATGGATATTTTCTCCCCAGATGAGAAACATTTTTTTCAAGGTCATAACAGATGCAAAAAGCACTTAAATAACATTTATGCCTGGATCTTAAATCGCCATTTAGTCATAACACCCGTATAAATAACACGTATTTACTTTAGATGAACAACACAACCTACCCAAGGTGTTACACACCCATACACACTTTCAGACACACACATTCTCACACTCGCACATTCTTAGCATCCAAGTGTCCACACTCTGCAAATCACCAGACACTTCTTCTGTGATCTAGATGCATGATGATAACCTCTTACTTCAGTAGTGTATGAAACTTCTAACAAATCTGCCTCCAATGAACTTCAAGTCTAACCAAAAAGCTCCACAAGAATGAAAAGACAATCCCTGACAGCTGTTTTCTGTCAAAAGCTAAGCATGGAGAAAGTTCTTTGGCATGGACTAAAGACATTGCAGGAGACATTTTGGTTTTGAGAAAGAAACACCAAAAGTAAAATGGTAGAAAAACTTCTTACCTCCCCATTTTCAAATGTAATTTCTCGAACTAGTGGTACACATTTATCTTGTGTCCATGCATAAATCAAATCAAAATTGGTTAGCGAGCCTAAATACACCATATCTGGAGCATTTTCCTGTAAAAAGAAAAATACACTAGTTGAGAAACAGTAAAAATGACATTGCTACCTACAAAGCAGATTACCTAACTGACATTAAAGTAACAACATCCATATAAATACTGCAAGCCAATTGTATACCAATGTTCAACCCTTGTGCATGCAACATTCCTATTAACTATATTACAAAAGTACAACAGAAAAAGAAATATTATATCTGACAATTTATGCAGTCAACTCCACTTCTTAAGACAACTTAAGAAAAATTGAAAAGATACTTTGTTTCCAAATTAGGGATGCTTCAAATAAAACTATTTAGACATCCCTCAGGTTGAGAAATAGTAACTCCATACCCAAAAAACCCATTTAGATATAAACTAAATGCAGATCTTAAGCTTCTTCATGCTGATAATTACAAAGACTCACCAAAAATCCCTCCCAATGCGCTACTGAACTCAAAACTGGTACTTTACATTTGCTTTGCCAAAAAGATAGGAATAAATAATAGTTTTCCTTTATTTGCTAATAGCTTTTGCTCAGAATTCAGTGCTGCCATCTTTTAATGTAATTACGATTTTGGTTAACATGAAGTGAAGCATGACTTCGCAAGCTGTAGCCATGATTAAGCACATCCATTCAGAAATGCCATATAAATTAGGTAACCTAATAAATTATGGATTCGCAGAAAAAAGTTTGAAACTCCCTCCCCCACTTGGTCTTTTTTTATTCATTTCCCTTCTGTAAGCAATACTTTTCATACATTAAATTTGAAAAAGCAGATTTTCAGATATTAATTGTTTCTAAAAAGCAATTCTTGCAGATTTTCTTCTGTACTGAATTTTTCCTCAAGTCAGACTATGTTTATGAGAGTTTGTTAACATACAGCTAATTTTACTAAATCTTTTTTTGTTTTTCAATTAAAAGAACAGTTCTTGGCCCCTGTGGGCTAAGACACACAAGACAGGCAAGTGGCAGTCAGAAAAGTACTTAGTAATTGCCACTTGCTTTGGAAAACATGAAGTGGTCCAGCTGTTGAACTTCACAGATTTTTAAGACTTCTACAGAACGCGAAGTATCTATACACATGATGAGACAACTGTGTTTCTAAGGAAAAAAAAAAATTTCTGGACATTCACATTTCAAATGACAGATTTAGGTTTTGTGCACTTAATTGACAACAAATGAGACATGGATCTTTTTCACTGACTCAGAAACTAATTCCTATGACCCTATTTCTCACACTGTTCAGTGATGAAATAAAATTAAGATTTGAGATGCAGTAACATGCTGAATGATCTGAATACAGTCTCCATTAGTTCATATTCACATATAATGACAATAAGCAGAATAAAATACATAGTTACACTTACCCCTGGTGGCTTGTAGATTACATTGTCTCCGCTAAATCTCTCTGCTTTTGAAATAGCCCTACAACAAACCAACCAGTAAGCATGTCTTGGCACAGACAAATAAAATAGCTGAGATACCAAAAATCATATTTTAATTTGATATCCTTTCTTTACTTCTTTTTTTCCTTCAAAATTTGAGAATTAAAATCCTCGATCTTTAAAGTAAACTGCAAAGTGACTCCACAGAAACTTGGCCCATCTAGATGAGAGGGCATTGAGGGAGTCAGCAAGACGTATCCCTAAGATAAGAAGTGTGGACCAAAGGCATCAACGTGCAAGTGATGAATGCTGGCACAATTCTGGATAAGAGCCCACCAGAGAAAAATGTTAATGAATTAATATAATCATGTCAATTAAAAAAATATAAATACCTATTCTTAAGGAAGGAGAGAAATGTGGATTCTTGTCTGCATTTACTCTTCCCGTTCCATTGCTTACACTAGGAATGTATGTCTTATCTACCCTGACAAAGAAGGGCTTTGAGGTCCTCTACCAGAACAGGCATGAGAAAATGGACAGCAAATAAGCTCAGACTGTCCATTTTGCCTTCAAAACTGATCCAGAGAACACAAGACACAGCATGCAGTTTCGGACCACTGATGATATGGTATGTGTCTACCTGGAGAATACATGCAGTTCCTCCTTGGTTGGTATTCAGCTTACTGTGTCACTGTAGTAAATTCCCCCCCTGCCTCTGGAATGTTTTGTGCTTCCTTAATCCCTGCAAGCTGCTAGCTTGTACCCCATAAATTATCATCTCTTATTCAAACAAATGGGGACAGATATGCATCCAACACAGGAGACAGAAAAAAGTAAGAAAAGAAAGCTCTCAACAAAATTAAGCCCTTTCACCACCTTCAGATCTCGAAGAGGTCTCCTCTCTTCTTCTCTCTCACACATTGCTGTTCCAGTGTAACTCACACTGGCAAGACAGAACTGACTGGCTGCATATGCTATGAAAGCGCAAAATGAACTACCTACTTATTTTCCTTTTAGCACAGGCTAAAAAGAAAGCATGTCAGCCTCTTGGAAACGCTAAGTGTTCCAGCTTCTCCAATTACAGTATCTCTTCTATGGACTAATTTGATCAGTATTCTTCAATGCTTATGAGATGCAAGGAGAAGGAAAAAAAAGAGAAGTAAAAATATCTCAATTTATCTCACTGCAAAATGAAGTAAATCTTCCAGGGGTCTGAACAATTTACAGGGCCAACAAACAAAAAAAAAGACATCACAAAGCTTAACTCAAAGTACCTGTGTTATTTAATTCATTTGATCCAACTACCCTTTTTCTTATCATGTAACGAAAGACGTCTTGCCTAGTGTGTTACACCTGTCAGTATTTGCACCAGTTTAGAGATGTGTATTTTAAAATGCATTTTTATATTCCAGACATGATGACTGCTCCCATAATATGAAATTAGGCTTCTTTGTGACTATCGCCACCGAGATAAACCACTTACATCCCAAACAATCCTTCACTGGATAAGAAGAAAGTGAAGACACAGAAGTCACCTGCCTAATCACTGCTTGGTACACTGATAATAATCTATAATGAAATATATGCTCTAGAATAAGCCTGCGGTGGAACCCAAAAGGTCCTCTTTGGTGTTCTTCCACTTCAGTAACTGCTGTTGTGACTGATTTGTTTCAGGCAAGTCAAAAAGTGAGGACATAATGTGAAAATCCCAGACATCTGAAGATACACCTTTTTAAAACAACTATGAAAAAGAAAACACTTCAGTTTGTGTTTTGTCTTTTCTTGAAACAGTAACTTAGAAGATGACCCTCTTGGAACCACACAACACTCCCCTTTCCTATTTGCTTGCTAACATAAAACTAAAACAGGTCTTAGATTTGTCACTCTCTTCCATGAATTATCTGCAGTTTACCATTGCCTTTTAAGATAAAAAGTTATTTTTTTGCCATTTGTTTTGGTTTTCTGCATTCATCTTCCTACCCTTTGGCTCAATGGCACAACGCCATTCTCTTCCATTTCAGATTTACCCCTCTCTAGTTCTACTTCCAAAATCTACCTCTAATATCTCTTTACCAGTATCCCTCCTATCTCCTTCTGCTTACAACTCATTAATCATGCACTGTGGTCACCTCAGATGTTAATAGAACTGTAAGGATTTAAGAATAGTTTTAAGCACCAAGATGATCTGCAAGTAAGTACCATTAATACAGTCTAAGCTATTACACCTACCTAAAGCCAGAATAATTTTGGCATAGCAGGGAACAGTTGTGCCTTGACAGAAGTTAGCAAAATAATTTTTTTTTTTCCTGTCAAATTGATTGTTTTGAGTTTATTTCATCTTATTAGAGTTTGAACAAGACAGCTCATGTTACCATATATCTCTCAAACCATACACCTGTTGAACTCTGTCCATAACAAAACCAAAACTTCCTCCCAGGGGCTGTTAGGATGCTCAGTCAGAAAAGTTTGTAGTTACATGAGCAGGTTATAAATAGTCAAACTCTGATCTGCTCCATTATGTTTGCTTATTTCTAAAGAAAAAAAAAGAAAGAAAAAAAGAATCCATAGTAACTACTTCAAGAATGGTGTACAACAACCAAATGCTAACACTGAGTGGTGGGAGACTACTTCTCATTGTACGAAGCTGACAAATAGCAAACCAAAGATGAACAGACTCAAAAACCAGAAGAGAGAACCTTAAAAGTATTGCTATCTTATTAACCATTTTTCAAAATGAATTCCTGAAAAGAATCAAAAGTCATATGACGGGGCAAAAAATAATTTAAAGTTGTAGTAATAACGGACTGGCTGCCCTGAGAACAAGCATGGATGCACTCATCAGAAAACATCTGAGATAACGGCCATTCTTTGGGGATAAGACTGACAGACCTACAGATCACAGATTTACAAGATTTTATTATTCTCTCACAGCTAAGGCTGCTTACACAGTCATAGGACACCTAATTGGGAACTGAAGGAAAGCCACATGTACTCCTGCGTACTACAAATACTCTCCCCCACCCCAAAACTTCTTTTTGGAAACACATTGGAAGAGGCATTAGTGACTGACAACAAATTTTGTTCAAACAGATGAACCACTGTCTACCTTGATACATCCTCCCAGTTTGTCTGCTATCCTTCGCTACATCCAATTTAAAAAACCCGTAGGGCTATTGTATGGAGTATAAAATCTAGGATAACCCATGCAAAATTCCTGATCTTGCAACTGTGAGTAGGCTCCAAACCACTGCATTCACATTAAGGCCCTATCACTTCAAATTGATTAATGCTGGCACATTAAACACTGCAGCAAGAATCTACAATTGCATTTTATTCTGCTACTTAAAAAGGGAATCACTCACTCCCAATTTATTCTTCCTCCACTGAAGATCTTTAAGTAAATTTGTATAACAGTGAGAAATTTGAATTTCTGTAGGTTGTTGTCCTAGGCTCACACTATGAAGCTTATCAACGCAATTGCCTTTCTAAACTGTTACCATGTGCAGTGACACAGAACTTGCATGAAACAGACACAGGCACAGAAATCAGGCGTTTTGGAACAAGGTCCTCTCCCCCGACATCAAGAGCAAATGAGCAAGCAACTACTGAATTATTCTTTCCAGGAAAAAAGGAAGGAAAAAAAAAAACACTATGAAGAGAAGGAAAAAAATCCTACCAAAACCGGTCATATTTTAAAGAAAAAGATTTAAAAGGCTAAGAAAAAAAGAAAAAAAGTTACTCAGTCTGCAAAGCTCATAAAATTTTTGCCAAAATGTTTTCAAACTCTTCCCTACCTGTTCCTCTCTCTCTCCAAAGCAGCGTATTTTTGGGACACAACTGTCTAGTATCCTAAAACCTCCCCCGTCCTATTTAAACTATACTGATGAGGAGTGAAAAAAAAGAAAAAGGAGGCAAAAAAACAAATCAAACATTAAGGCCAGAAGGAGTTTTCTCCTCCTATCCTTCTCTCAGTGTATTTATCCGTTAAGGCCTAGTCTCTCCAGTTATGCCACACTGAAAGTATTAAAGTCCATTCAATTAAATTATATACCACTCATTAACATAATTTCAATAATGAAGTCATGCAATCAACAAATTTTATCTTACCCAATGGCAGACAGGAATACACAATCATCATGCAAAATATTCGCTACTCGTTCAAAGGTTCTGTAATTGTCAGAGTCCTTTTGCTCAAAGTATCCAACAATACTTCTTCTGCTGCGCTGTTAAAACAAAGCTTAAATTATAACTTACCACAAATTATCAAAACCCTACCATTACTCCCTAAGGATATCAAACATAGAGGTGCCATTCATTCAGCAGTCAGTAACTGTCATTTCTTTTCTGCCTTTTCATTATTCAGAAACATCCTTGTGAATATTTTTACAGTGAGGAATATTAGATCTATCTTGTCAAATATAACATATGATTCTTTTCAAATTATTAAAAGTAAAAGAAATAATTTGGTAGTGGAGTTATTGTAACAAAATGAATGCAGTTGAAAGCTATGATTCTATGAAAGTGATTATATTAGAATAAGTTGTAATACTGGACATGATCCAGTTTTCCATGAAGTTTAAAAAAAGCACTCAACATTATTGAATGCAAAAAAAGATGTAAATATGCACCTCAAATACATTTGTTTCACCAGTTCAACATTTAAAAAAGAAAGAATACGAATATATTTAGAAGGAATAAAATTTCAAGACTTACATCAAGAGAATTGATTTCTTCCAAATCCTGGACCTCCCGAATAGGGTTACTCTTTTGCTGCCTGATATAATCTGCTATTGCTGTCACAGATCTCTGGCCCCTGTATTCTCTCTTCATCATCATTCCATTCCGGAAGAGTTTCAGAGTTGGATATTTGCTTATCCTGTATCTCTGAGCTATATCCGCTAAAAAGAAATTTAGAAAATAAAACAAAAACACTACAAATACCGAAATACACTGAACATAGTATCTTATACTTGTATGTCCGCATGTAAATGGAATCTCTGAACCTATAGTTCCACATCTTTAAACAATAATAGACTAAAAAAAACCCAAACACCGCCATAGGGGAGAGAACGGAGAGCAGTTACAATATTTCTCACATGAACTGATCTTCATTAAAAACTCATGACCAAAATCTGGGGTAAGTAAAGACTTGACTTAGTCAGCTGTACTCATTCAGTACACTTCCTATGAACAACCAGGAAAGCCAGTTTAGGAGCATAAAAAGAACATGAGGATTTTAGAAGCTTGCCAAATCTCAGTTAGTTAATCCACATGAGAAACTTTTAGTAAAATAAATTATCCCCTATTTTTCTGTAAACTCACTATGGTTTTTATCTCAATTACAGTGCTGGAAAAATAACTGTCATTTCTCAAATTTTAAAGGATGTGAACCTTGTGCAAAATATTTCCTGAAGCCTATGAAGGCCAGAAGACTGCTGTTGCAGTTCTGAGCCATTCAGATTTTGAATGTACACAAGATTTCAGGCTTCTATATTAACCACCTCTCTGGTCAACCAGTGCCAGCACTTCCTTCAAGGCAGTTCTTCATTCACATCTATACCTGCAGCCCAGCCCTCTGCTAGACTTGGACCGCACAGAGCTTCATACAGCGAAGTAACACGCCTTTGTGTTCATGCAGCATAAGAGTGCTGGCTACGTTCACCTTTATAGTTAAATAACTGACCTGTTACGCAAGTTACGAGACTTACAAATGTAAAAGAAGAATAAAACAGGTTTTATAGTAAAAATAGAAGAGCAGCAAAGAAAGCCGAGCGGAAGCAATACAGCCCAGTTTCCCATGAATGTGCGTCCTGTGCCCCTCAGCTTCAACCACTGCTAAGGCAATAATTGGGTTCTTTGCTATGCCCCACCAGAGCACTTTAAGCCTCCCTTTATCCCTCTTCTGCTTTGCTTAATCACTGGGACACAGCAAGTTGCAATAGGCATTGCAGCTCGTTGCCAGCTACGCATTGACAGGGAAACTCATATGTAAACACTAAGCACGATCCTCCTAGGGAAGCTGAGGAAGTGTGGGCTGGATGAGTGGTCGGTGAAGTGGACAGAGAACTGGCTGAATGGCAGAACTCAGAGGGTTGTCATCAGCGGCGCTGAGTCTAGTTGGAGGCTGGTAACAAGTGGTGTCCCTCAGGGGTCAGTACTCAGCCCAGTCTTGTTTAACTTCTTCATCAACAACCTGGATGAAGAGTTAGAATGTACCCTCAGCAAGTTTGCTGATGACACCAAACTGGGAGGTGTGGTAGATACACCAGAAGGCTGTGCTGCCATTCAGCGTGACCTGGATAGGCTGGAAAGCTGGGCAGAGAGGAACCTGATGAGGTTCAACAA